TCTCTCTCTCTCTCTCTCTCTCTCTCTCTCTCTCTCAGAGAGGAAACCATCCAGGCTTCTACTCTAAAGTATCTGTAGCCTGGGTCTGAGGGCCAGAAGCAGCCTGCCCCGCCCCCACTCCCTACAAACATCCCTGACCTTCTGAAAATTTCAAAAAAGAAAGCATATGGCCCACAGCCCTGAGGCCAAGTGAGTACACAGCTGTGCCACCAGACCAGAGCTGGCTTTCTGGGTCCTTGTCATGTAGGAGTGGAGAGATCTGCCCCATTCACTCTTCCACGATGTGTTCCTTGCACGGAGTGCCCTCCCAGGGCCTCACTAACCCTCCCCACCTTATGACACTGTGTGGCGACATCTGTGTCTGATGTGCCATCAAGTGATCTCTGATGACGGCCGAGGTTAGCGCTCCTCTCCGCCATGCCTTTAACACACATTCTTACACCAGATTCCTTACCTGCCATTTGTCTTAGATCGAATCAGGGACTTGGGCGTGTGTGGGAACTCGGGGACTTCCATAAGACAGTAGTATTGGGTCCTCAGTGCCATGGGAGAGAATTTGGAAGTCACTGGGCTTATTTTCTGATTGCCAAGTGGATGGTGCATTTTACTGAACTTTTTTTTTTCAGAAGTACATTCTTTTTATTTCTTGTATTATATTTATTTCTTGTGTCATACAGACACATACAAGAAATTTTACATTTCCTAAGATGACTCTCCATTTCTTCTACTTGTATTAAACTAAAGTTCATAAAGAAATACCGAAGGACTGTTTGAGAAATCTTATCTTCAGCAACCTCAGCAGTGGAGGGTGAGAGGCAGCAGTTCCCTCCCCAGGAGACCTTTGTATTTATGCTCCTTGTCAACCAATGAACCTCTTCACAGCCTCCTGGGGAACTCACATCATTAGCTCAATATCATCTTCTCCAAGAAATGTCATTCGTTCTTCTCTGCTTTCCCTGTGTCGGTGGTAAAGGATGTGGACAGTTGCTGCACTTGCTGGGATTCCAAGTACCAGGGCTATGTTTTGAATACTGGACAGGCTTGTCCATGAAGTGGCCATTTTCTGGGGAATTCTCTTGTCAGGAGTCAAGCACCTTCGCCTTGCACCTTACTGTTCCCTCTGCCTGGTCACTACCAGGGCCCAGCAGCCAAGCAGGCAGCTATTTTGCAGACACTTGCCATGCCCCGGAGGCATGTCCACACCAATCAATGCCTGTCTTGAAGTCTGACAATCGTGCACCCATGCAGCAGCCAATCCTTGCTCCGGCAGCCATGAGCAATGGATCAGGGGTTTCTAAGGCCAACCTTGAATGTAGACCACAAGGAGTCTGTCTGACCTACAGATAAGCCCTGGTGATCAGCAGGAACTCCAGTCTTCAACAGATCGATGCTGCTGTTTTTTTACTGAACTTTTTGTTGTTGTTTTGTGTTGAGACATGGTCTCAAGTAGCTCAGGCTAGCCTCAAACTCCATAATAGTTTAGGGAATGCTGAGATTCCAAACATGGGCCATGTCCAGTTGTATGTGTTGGGACTTAAGCTAAGGACTTCATGTTTGCTATATAAGTCCTTCTCCAGCTGAGCTGTAGTCCCAGTGCTTAGCAGACACATTGAAGCATTGTACAGTATAGTGGGCCACTACTTGAAGCAAGGCTAGCAAGTTCTCTAGGCCAGTAGAGGGAGATGGACCATTCCTTTGGAACCCCTGTCCCCTCTTGTTTCTGAGCAGGTGACAGTGCTATTCAAAGAAAAACACATGACAGTGTTTACCTGGCCTCCAAAGTTTACCTGGCATGCTTACACATTTGCATAAACATTGCAATGCTGATGGTTGTATAGATTACACAGGAGGGACCAAGGGCCAGCACGCCTATGCTGTCAACCCAAGGCCGTCATAGTCAGCCCAGTTCCATCTGGTAGTTGTTTTCTGAGCCCCGGGTCTTCTGTAACATGGCCTCTACTTGTCATGACCTCTCAGATGACAGGTGAACAAACATTTACAGCAGAGTATGTTAGAGATGAGCAATACACCTGTCGCTGCAGGAAGAAAACAGGAAGGGTTTCTCAGGATGAATGGAAGTTCTCCAGGCAGGGGCCTGGAGGTGACATTTGGGGAGAAGAGCTTTCCTGTTCAGAGATGGCACATATCTAGATATCCCAGCATGTGGGGGACAGGGAAACAGGGTGGATTAGGAAAGAACAAGGGAAAAGTGGGGTTGCAGGTATAACCCTGGCTTGCTCTACAGACCAGGCTGGTCTCAAACTCAGAGCTCCTTCTGCTTCTGCCTCCCTGGTGGTTAGATTAAAGGTGTGTGCCACCACTCCTGGCTTGAATTTTAAGTGAAAGCATTTTTGTTTTTGTTTTTTGAGACAGGGTTTCTCTGTGGCTTTGGAGGCTGTCCTGGAACTAGCTCTTGTAGACCAGGCTGGTCTCGAACTCACAGAGATCCGCCTGCCTCTGCCTCCCGAGTGCTGGAATTAAAGGCATATGCCACCAACGCCCGACTAAGTGAAAGCATTTTGCAAGAAATGTTTATGGGGAAGGCATAGAACCAAAAACGAGCCCTCTGTTCTAGAGTGACCTGCCAGGTAGCTTTTACCAGGTTGTAGCTGTTTGAAGTGAAGCCTGCTTTGGGCTGGGAAACAGGAACCTGTGGCCAGGCCAGTAGTGACTCAGCCTCACAGAAGGACCAATGTAAATGGGCCTCGAGCTGGGTGGGGCCTGGGCTGTGGTGTGAGACTCAGTGGGGAGGGATCCAGAGAACATTGCTGGGGTCTGAGCAGCAGATGGCACTCCCACGTGCCTGGACCTCCCTGCCTCTGTGGTAAACAGTCCTGGCCAGAAGTTTCCAAGACTCAAGCTGACCGCTGGAGACTATGAGCCGGCACTGTCTGCTCCCCTGTCTCCATCTAGCTCATGTGCACAGTGACAGAACGCGTGCCCAGAGTGACCCTATGCCACTGCCATTTGAAGGACAAAGCTTTTAAAGCCATTAAAACAGACCCTGGCCCAGCTAATGACCTCCAAGTAATGAAAGGGAGTGCCCCGCTTGTGGGAGGATCTGCTAAGCTTTGGTGGTAGAGTTTCCAGGGAGGGCCCAGGGGCTTAATTACTGATAGAAAAACCCATGCTAGGCACGACCAGGCTCCAGAACATTCTGGAACTTTCCTGGTATATCCCTTCCCATCACTTCTTTTGATTGTTGTCCTAGATATTCTTCGAGCATGTCCTGCTTCCTTACCATTTGTGTCTAAGGTTTGACAGCACTACTGACCAGATCCATAGCCTGCATGATATGCATTCCGACTCCACGCCTGTCACGCTTCTCAGAATACATGTTACTTTAAAGAATGTCTCACAAAGCCATGGCTGGTGGCCTGTGATTATAATCCCAGCACTGGGAAGGAAGACACAGTTGAACGCAGAGGCTTGCTGGCAAGCCAGCCAGTGAGCTCCAGGCCAATGAGACATCCTGTCTCAAAAAATAAGGTGGGGAATTCAGTGACAGGATTCAGTGTGTAAAGGCGCTTGCTTGCCACAGCCTGTTCACCTCAGTTCCATCCCTGGAACCCACTCGGTGGAGAGACTCCCATAAGGCGTCCTCTGACTTTGACATGTTGGCTGTATCCGGCAATGTGCAAACCCTGCCCACCCCCAACAAATAAAAATGGAGAAAAAAAAAAAAAACACCCAAAAACCAAGGCAGGTGGCGCCTGAGAAATGATACATGACCTTCACACGCTTGTCCCATACGACATCTCACACGGAAACTTCTAGAGAGGGATCTCTGAACCTCTTGAATGCTAGGCCGGTGCTTTGCTCTGGGCTGTGCTCCAGGACCCCCCCACCCCTGTGGAGACCCCAAATCTGAATAACCAGGCTCCTTTGCGGTGGATGGCTGCCCATCTTCTTGAGCCTCCAAAGTCTGTTTGAGGATGAGATGCTGGCATGACAGAGTCACCTCTCCACCAGCCCTACCTGCAGGGGCAGGACTATATGCTAGGCCATTTGTTTACTGTTTCTCTAGTCACCAGTAGGTAGGAAGAACCTGACCCATGGCCACAGCCTACCGCTGTACAGAGCCGCCTATGGCCCTAGTCAACAAATGATTCATTTGGGATACATTGGTTTGGGTTTTGTTTGGGGTGGTTTTGTTTGAGACAGGGTCTCACTTTGTAGCCCTTGCTGTCCTGGAATTCACTATGTAGGCCAGGCTGGCCTTGAACTCGCAGAGATCCACCTGCCTCTGCTCCAAGTGCAGGAGTTAAAGGTGTGAGTCATCACACCCAGCTTTTTGGTATTTTGTTTTATTTTGTTTTGTTTTTCCTGGCAGGGTTTCTCTGTGGCTTAGGAGGCTGTCCTGGAACTAGCTCTTGAAGACCAGGCTGGTCTCGAACTCACAGAGATCCACCTGCCTCTGCCTCCCAAGTTCTGGGATCAAAGGCCTGTGCCACCAATGCCTGGCCAGCTTTTTGGTTTTTGATTTTGTCTTTGAGTCAGGTTTGTGGTTGTTGTTTTGTTTTGTTTTTTTTTATTTTTGTTTTTGACAAGAGGTTTCTCTGTGTAGCCCTGACTGCCCTGAAACTCACTCTGTAGAACAGGCTGGCTTCTAACTCAGAGATCTACCTGAGTGTTGGGCTTAAAGGCGTGTCCCCCACCACACATATACACACCACCTGGTAAGGCAGGGTTTTATTAGCCCAGGCTGTCCTTGAAGTTCTGACCCTCCTGACTCCATGTCCTAAGGACTGGGGTTAAAAGTGTGTGTCACTGCGCCCACTTTTACTTGGTGCTAGAGACTGAACACAGGTCTTTGTGCATACTAGTCAAGCACTCGGCCAATTGAATCACATCCCAGCCACAGCAAAGAACTCTTGCTAACCAACCCAGGACAACAAGCTACAGAGTCTCCTCTCCTTCCTGTGCCAACCCAACTCCTCTGACCCCCTCAGGTTACAGTGTTTGGGCAATAGACCCACCTCCCTTTGTACCTCCAGTAGGGAGGGACACCTTCCTCCCCTGGGCAGAGCCTGAATCCTGGTCCTCCGGGACTCTCCTCATCTGTGTCTCTGTATTTTGCAGTGATCAGGGCCAAAGCAGTAAGCGAGAAGGAGGTGGATTCCGGGAACGACATCTACGGCAACCCCATCAAGAGGATCCAATATGAGATCAAGCAGATAAAGGTAGCCCCTGGTTTGGTGGGGGAAGCAGGGATGGGGTCCTGGAACGCCTCCCAGCCACCGTAAGCCAGAAAGCTGAGCTGTCAAGCCACAAAGAAGCCCAGTTCTCCTTAAGCCACAAGAACATGAAAGGCTGGCAGAAATGTGAGGTTTTCAGCTGCCTCAGTCACTGTCCTATGCTTGGCACAGGAACCAAAGCAAGTCTTGTAAAGAAAGCATATTAAACAGGGGCCTGCTTACAGTTTCAGAAGATGAGTCCGTGGTCATCATGGTGGGAGGCAGGCAGACGTGGATGGTTCTGGAGCAGTAGCTGAGAGCTTTGCAACCTGACCCTAAGGCAGCAGGTGGAGTGAGGGACATTGGGCCTGGCATGAGCTTTTGAAACCTCAAAGCCCACCCTCAGTGACAGACCTCCTTCAATAAAGCCATACCTCCTAATCCTTCCCACACAGTTCTACCTACTAGGGGACCAAGCATTTGCATATTTGACCCCATGGGCCCGTTCTCATTCAAACCACCATGTCACCCTAATTCCAGAAACAGACTAGCTTGATTTTACCAGGTGATAAACCTGGGGGTAGCATGTCATAAGAGGAAGAGTCTGGCAGTCAGTTGTACTTGAGGGCAGCTTCCTGACTGTGGTGGGCCATTTACTGAGAAGGTAGCCCATTGAGCGGACAGGGCTGTGGTCGGGGAACTGCAGATGGCCCCAGTCGTGGCTGTGGTGGTGTCTGCTAGTATATTCAGAGTACTTTGTGTGTCAGAGACAAATGGGAAGAACCAGTGTTAGAGAGAGAGACAGACAGAGAGAGACAGAGATACTCAGAGAGAGGCAGACAGAGAGAGAGAGAGAGAGAGAAACAGACAGACAGACAGACAGACAGACACACACACACACACGAAGAGAGAGAGAGAGAGAGAGAGAGAGAGAGAGAGAGAGAGAGAGAGATGTTAAGGGAGAGGCAGGGGATATGGCTCAGTTGGTAGCATGCTTACCGAGCACACATGAAGCCCTGAGTTTGATCCCTGGAATTACAAAACTAGGTAGGGTGGTACATGCCTGCTCTGGTAGTTGACATTTACTAACTTGGTATTCAAAGAAAGACAGCTGGCTCCTCCAGTGTTAGGGACAGCTTTGTCATGCAGTAGTGGTTGTAGACATCCTTATTTACCAAAATTGAAAATAAATATTATCAACAGGCCAGAGGAGCGAGCACTTCCTCATCCCATGTGTCACCTCAGGAACGACTAACTCTCAATACCAAAGTCTCCTTCTGAGGCAGAGAAGCAGGTGGGCTTGCGTAACCTCATCACCTCCTCGTGGCTTAATACCAGGAAGTGACTCTGTTGCCCTGGCAACCTTCCTTCCTACAGCGTTAGAACTGAGCTCCCCAAAGCCGTTTTGTCCTGGAGAGGGACTGCAGCCTGAAGGCTCAGTGGGTAAGAGCACTGACTACTCCTCCAGAATTAGGATCCCAGCACCCATGTCAGGCAGCTCACAACTGCCTGCCGGCCCTGCTTGAGGGGAATCTGGCTTCTGAGGGCACCTCATGGTAGCAGACACACAGACACAAACACACCATGGAAGTAGAAATAAAAATAAATATTTAAAACTCGAAGGAAGGAAAGAAGGAAGGAAGGAAGGAAGGAAGGAAGGAAGGAAGGAAGGAAGGAAGGAAGGAAGAGGCAAACGAAAACCCTCTTCTGGGGTGTCGGGAAGGGTGTGAGTAAAAGGGGAGCGGGGTGAAACCCCCACACACATCTAGGTGTCTTCCTCTGAGGGGCAGCAGGCATACCCCTGAAGAGCAGGCATACCCCTGAAATGAGTCAGATGCTGAGAAATAAATGAAACCCTCCAGTGACTCTGGGGTTATGTTCTGGCTCCAGGGGGAGCCCTTCTCCCCTTGTTCTCATCAGGTAGTCAGTGCTTCGCCAAGATCCCTGGAAATAAACAGCCTGCTGTAGTAAAACCCTATAAACCCAGCATCCTGGCTGAGGCAAAGAGAATGGAGAGTTCGAATCCAGGTCTGGCTACAAAGTGAGAATTTAGTTTCAGAAAAAGAAAAATTGTGGAAGTAGGGCTGGGGTGTAAATTATTGGGCTCAAGGCTCCAGGTTTGACCCAAAAGATAGGGATGGGGGTAAGGGAAAAAGAGAAAATCAAAAGAAAAGGAAAAAAATTTAAAAACAATCTTTTTGTGAGTGTGTGGTTTTTTGTTTATTTGTTTTTAGCTTTTTGGTTTTTGGAGACAGGGTTCTCTGTGTAGCCTTGGTTGTCCTAGAATTTATACAGTTCTGATTGCCTCTGCTTCCTGAGTGCTGGGATTAAAGACCGCCCCCCCCCCCACACACACACATACACTTTGGTTGGTTGGTTGGTTTTGTTTTTCAAGCAAGCAAATGAACCCGGTTCCTGGGAAGAAGACAGAGACGTGACCCTCTGTGGCAAGTGAGAATCTCCTAGAATTTATACGGAGGTTTGGAAATGATGACCTTGTGCTCAGAAATTACCTTGGACAAAGCCTTGGCAGGCTGTGTTTGCCAACTGAGATCTGCCTATATCCCTAAGCTGATGTGTGACTCTGAACACATCTCGAAAACAGTGGTGGCTTTTGAATCCCCTGTTTACCCTCTATGCACCTTGGGATGGGGAGTACGGGGGGGGGGGCATACCTGGGTGCAGCCATGTACCCCTGTTCCCATCATGCTTTGGTTGGGAACCCCATGGCGGCTTACTCCTGCCCCCCTGTGTTTTGCAGATGTTCAAAGGCCCTGACAAAGACATCGAGTTTATCTACACAGCCCCCTCCTCAGCAGTGTGCGGGGTCTCGCTGGACGTTGGAGGAAAGAAGGAGTATCTAATTGCAGGTGTGTAGGAGCTCAGCCTTAGTACTGGGTCATGGTACCCTAGCAGAATTCCTCTGCGGTCCTGTCATCTGGTCCCTGAGGAACAAGCTTCCCACACTGCCCTCTAGGGGCGAGCCAGCCCAGCTGCACGGGCACAAGGACTGCTGGCCAGCACCTACTTCCAGAGACACCCCAGGTGCTCATCTATACCGAAACTGTCTGTATTAGCCGTCTCTCCAGGCTAGTGCCCCCTGGGAGGGATATGCCTCGGTAGCCATGCACACGGACTCTATTTTCAACCCCTGGGGCCAGACCTGTCAGTCAGCCCTGCTGACCACTTGGTCATCTCAAGCATGGACACTGCTTTCTGGTCCATGAGATGGAAACCAGCCTACCACACCAATAAGGGGCTTCTTTCTGGGCAGGTGATTTACAGATAGGTAAGCCATGCCTTACTATCAGGAGCCCTGACACACAGTGACTGCTACAACCAGGCTCAAATTCCTGCCCCAGACTTCTTGCCCTGATGCTACCAGGAGGCTGTGGATGCCTGAGCAAAGGGGAGGGTGGAGTCCTACAAGGCAGCAGGGTGATGAGCACAGCTGGGGGCTGCTCTGTTTTGTATACTTGGGAGCCACGTTAGGGCATTCTCTCTGGCTCTGCCCGTCTTCTGCACAAGCGAGGCTCTGGGTCCACACAAAGCCTGGGAAGTCAATCCCCATGGGAGACCAGATTACTTCAGTGACTGTGTATGTGGACAGCGCTTTCTGTCGTGCCGAATGCCTGTCTTCCACACTGGCCATCGGAGGGCTCCCACATGTAGCATCTGTTTTGTACTGTCCCTCTACACCCATGTGTGGCCGCTCCTCCTCCTCTAAGTAAGGAGAAAGCCACACAAATAGCACAGCGCAAGTTTCCTAGGCCCGAGAAGACTCCACTGTAGCTCCAGGTGTGATGAAGATTGAAGGTACCATGTGCCTGTCACTTAGACTACATCACACACACACTGCCCCAGACGTTTGGGCACATTTTAGTGCCCTGACCGGCCCCAGAGAATTACATCAATAAAAGACACTTTTAAATACACTGCGTGCTGTTTTAAAAACTGCACTAGTGTAGTTGGGCATGGTGGCACACGTCTTTCATCCTAGCACTTGGAAGGCAGAGACAGGTGGATTTCTGTGAGCCTACACAGTGAGACCTTGTTTTTGAGAAACAAAACCCCACAAACCTAGTATCTAGGCCAGCTAGATAGCTCAGTGGGTAAAGGCACTGGCCACTAAGCCTGGCAATCTGAGTTTGATCCTCAGAATCTGTATGATAGAAGAAGAAAAAATAACACTAAGTTGTCCTCTGACCTCCACACGTACACACCCATCCATGTACCCAGTCACCTATACACACACAACATAAGTGAATGTAACAAAACCTGCAGAAAACACATATTATAGGGTTGCCTTTATATCTATGCCTGGGCATAGGATTCGGTGACACTAAATATAGCTACAATAGCATGTAACTATGACTATCTATTCCAGGACTGTGCCATCTTCCCAAACTATATCTCTGTCCACTGGCCAAGAGCATCTCACTTCTTGTCTTTTCCTGGGCCCCATCCCCCACCTTCTGCTTTCACTTTCTGTGACCTTGTCTATTGTAGGGAGCTCATGGCTGTAGCAAGGTAGATATGCCTTTGTGGTGGCTTATTTTACTGAGCATGCTGTCAGGGTCTGTCCATGTTATAGCAGGTAGAAGAATTGCTTCTCTTTTTGTGTATATGTGCACACACACATACATACATACATGCATACATACACACATGCATACATACATACACATGCACTCACACACATACACACATGCACACACACGTGCACATACATACATATACACACATACATACATACACATGCACACACATGCACTCACATACATACATATGCGCACACACGCATGCACATACATACACACACATGCACACACACGTGCACATACACACACACACATATATACATGCATACATACACACATATAGACACATACACATGCATACACACATACATACACATATTTGGTGGTGCTAAGGATGGAATCAAGGCCTTAGACATGCTATGGCAGGGCTCTAGTACTGAGTTTTATACTCACCCCCTGCTCAGATTAGTATCAATTTTTAATGTGATATTCTTTTCCACTGAATCTGACAGGTGATTTCCTGTTTTTATACACATGCACACATATGATGGCCTATGAGTGGAAGTCAGGACAGTTTGAGGGAGTCAGCACTCTCCTACAATGAGGTCCCTGGGATTGAACTCAGACTGACAGTTTTGGCAGCAAGTGCCTTTACACACTGAGCTATCTCATTGGCTCAATGGGGGGCAACTAAAGATGCAAAGAGAACAAACTAGTACAGTGAAAAGGTGCAAGTGGTCCGTGTGTGCCCAGGTGTCACCCCTGAAAACACACCTGTTTGGATTTGGACTGGTGGCCAACACCTGACAAGCCAGAGTCCTCGGCCTGCCCTTAATCCCAGCACTCGGGAGGCAGAGGCAGATGGATCCCAGTGAATTTAAGGCCAGTGTGGTCTACAAAATGAGCTCTAGTTCAGTTAAGGGCTATTACACAGAGAAACCCTGTCTCAATAACCAAAAAATTGGGAGCATGTTTTGTTTTATTTTACGTGAGGGGGAGATTTATTCTAGGGGGTACAGTGCCCACCGAGGCTAGAAGAGGGCGTCATCCCAGGAAGCTGGAGTTACAGGCAGTTGTTATAATCTGCCTGATTATGACATAGGCACTTGGAACTGAACTTTGGTCCTCTGGAAGATCAGCATCTCTCTAGCCCCAACATGAGCTATTTTAAAACTCAGAGTAGTCCAACCATGGTGTTGTTAGAGCTGACCTTCAAAACCCAGAGCTGCACCCAGATGCAGAACGAAGGCAGGAGGAGGAGACTTGAGCCTCCCACTGAGCCTGGTGACTCTCCACACAGGAAAGGCAGAAGGGGATGGCAAGATGCACATTACCCTCTGTGACTTCATTGTGCCCTGGGACACACTGAGCACCACCCAGAAGAAGAGCCTGAACCACAGGTACCAGATGGGCTGCGAGTGCAAGGTGAGCAGGATGTGTGTCCTCATCCCCTCCCTGGCTTTGCCATCACGAGGTCTCCAGGTGGACAGCTGGGGACATGCCCTTGACTTCCCAGACCCTCAGGACAGTGAGTCCTGATTTGGAATAAACTCTGGGAAGATAAGGGAGTGAGACTGTCTAGCTAGAGACAAAGCCTTTGGTTCCCAGATCCCCAGAGAACCTTGAGTTGTGTCCTTGGCAAGGAATATTTGGAAGATAAGAGGATATGGGGTGGGACAAAGCTCACAAATCAGTTCACATGACTGTCAGCTTTCTAAGGAGAAAAGCTCCCAGGAAAGGAGATTTTGTGGGGAGAATACGGTCCTCTAAATATTTTCCTACCCATGTATAGGTGTAAGCATTGTGTGTTCAAGAGCCTAGGTACTACTCCCAACATTCTAGACCTCTGTGCACGGGTCTCCATGAGTCTGCCTAGAGATGGCGACAAGCAGAGTTGTAGATGCACTCGTGCCTACATGTGACAGAAAAGGGTGAGCGCTATTCCCAGATTTGGGAACCATGACCATGACCCAGATGCTTTCTCCCTCACCGGTACCGGTAGCCAGCATTCCTTCGTGATACCAGGAGTGAATCTGGGGCTGAGAGTTGCCGGCAGAGTCGTGTCCCATGGCCTGTGCCAACTGACACTTTTTTTTCATGATGCCTGCTCCCCTTCTGACTGGTGCTCCCATAACTTGGCTATCAAAGGCATCATCCCATGCCAGGTGTCCAGCCAAATACAGGCTGAGCATGGCTCCTCTGTGCCTAGCATATCAAAGCAAACTCTAGTTGGGCCTGCTTATACACCTCACTTGGGAGGGTGAGATGGGAGGGCTGCCGAGTTTGGAATCAACCTGTGCTGTACAGTGAGGTCCTTGCCAGCCTGGGCTAGAGTGAGATTCTGTCTCAGAAAACAAGGAAAAGCAGGCTGGAAAGTGGTTCAGTTGGTGGAGTGCTTGCTGGGACACGCAAAGCACCACATAAACTAAGTGTGTAATGTCATCATTCAGGAGTTGGGAGCAGGTGGTCTGGTCACAAGTTCAAGGTTGTCCTATGCTGCCTAGAAATTTCTAGGCTAGCCTCGGATACATGAGACTCAAGAGCAAACAAAAACCCAAGCTCCTTTCTCCATCTCTGTGTGGCCAGAAGTGGACACTCTTGTAGCTTCATAATTTCTTTTGTCAAAAAGTTATTGACCCATTGATCAAAGCAGGTAATTAAGAACAAGCATGGGAATTCTTATTTGGCTCTAATCTGTCTCCAGTGTAAGTCCCTTGTGGTAGCTGCAGCTGCAAAAGGGCCTAAGCTGAAACCCTCCCTTAAAAAAGGTAGACCAGATGGCCCAAAGCAGAAGTGCACTGTCACACCAGGATTACCTAAGTGGGTGGGTGCAGAGGTCAGTGTATGCACAAGTTCCCTCCAGGCCTGTCCTCAGCTACAGTGTGGGGACCAAGGACTCAGTAGGACTACGGTTCTTGAACACCTTCAGCAGGTTGTGTCCTGGAGATGAACCAAGTGCCCTTGGCCCCAACTGTTCCTTGGTTCCAACTAAATGTGCCTGCATGTATCCCCCAGATCACACGCTGCCCCATGATCCCATGCTACATCTCCTCCCCGGATGAGTGTCTCTGGATGGACTGGGTCACAGAGAAGAGCATCAACGGGCACCAGGCCAAGTTCTTTGCCTGCATCAAGAGAAGTGACGGCTCTTGCGCATGGTACCGCGGAGCGGCACCCCCTAAGCAGGAGTTTCTTGACATCGAGGACCCATAAGCAGGCTGATGGAGCCCCTGCGGCCAACTGAAAAGCCTCTGAGGGTTTAGACTGGTCCAGCTCTGACATCCCTTCCTGGAAACAGCATGAATAAAACATCAATCATCCAAGTGGGTTCACGCTAGTGTGATTCTGCACCCCCCATTTTCCCTAAACATGGTTGTGGGTCTGGAGGGGCAGGCAGGCCAGAGTCCCTGCCAAACCCCCTCCATGTGCCAGGCTGAGCACTGTGTGTCTCAGTCTTTGATCCTTGGGTACCAGGCAGGAGTGGAAAACAGACTTTTTACCAGGTCTCGTGGGCACTGTCACATACAGCTGACAGGCAATATTTAAGGGTCCCCTGGCCCTGCTGGGGCAGAGCCTGGGAATGCGCATTTTGCAGAAACACTTGACGGTTGTTGTGAGACTGTGTAGCTGGCCTACCAGGTCCTTTTCATCCTGAGAGAGACATGTCCCTCGTTTTCTGCAGTGGCCACCCCTCTGGCCCAAGGTCTAAGTCTCTCACCCCTTGCAAGTACCCCCCATCTCCTCTGCACCTGGTATGGACTCTGAGCACCAGAGTCCAAGAGTAGCCCTCCAACCAGTGATTCCTTTGTCTAGGAGGCCCAGTTGCACCCATGAACCCACAGACTTTTAGTGGTGCCCCTTGCGCTCGTGGGAACAGGAGCCGTGTTTCTGGCTTCAGCCAAATAATTTCTGTCCTACCCTTCCCCGTCTCCACCCATCCCCTATTGGGGAATCTGTGAGGTCTCATGCTGGGGGCAAGAATCTGAGGTGAGGGATGCTTGGCTGTCCTTGCAGTGGCTCTTAGGCCTCTTGAGCTATTGTCAACCCCTTTCTGAGTGGCTTCAGGTATCTGGGTTGAGCCACACAGCTCTCTGTAGCATCACACCCCACTGGTGGAATGCTGGTGGCATTCCCTTCTTTTTCCCACAAACTGAAGGCTAAGAGGCCAGTCCTGTAAGGCCTCAACAGAAAAATTCTAGTGAAATTTCCCTGCTAGACTGGCCATCATTACTGTGTGTGGATTTCTGTAGTGTTATTAACCAAGCCCGTGAACCTATGCAGTGAAGGAGCCTGAGAGCATCTTGTCTTATTAAGCTCCCAGGGTGCCGTGGCTTGCTCTTAGAGAGATCTCATTCTCCTAAGATACCTTATGAGGCTGAGAGGCAAGCACACTCAATTCTGCGTCTGTCTCTTAATGTCGCAGAGGCTACCCATTTAAGGCCCTTATAGGGAACTGGGGCACCTACTTGCTCCCTGAAAAAAAAAAAAAAAGATTTTCTGATGGCAATAAGATAGGGGTTAAGACAGGCAGAACTTTGTCACTAACAATACAGATAGTAGCTCTTCCTCCTACCTAAGTCTTAAAAATAAGCTGTCCCGAGGACACACTGGTATGTTATCCAAACATGTACACATATGCTCACACAAAAACAGACTCTGAAGTCTGGCAGCCTGTGAGTGGTCCTTACCCTGTCCTAATCATCAGAAACCCCAAAGCAACTCTTAAGATCCGCCCCCCACTAGCCACGCCCCCACACCAGGACCCAGCAGCTCAGAATTCTATTCCCTTTTAAGACAGACTTGCAGGGGGAAGGGGTGTTTCCCCGGGGAGTCGGCCTGCCCCACCTGAGGACATTTTCATGTTGTGCAGTGATGCTCTTCCCAGGATGCTGTCATGGACCAGCCCACGAGACCCTGCGGTCTATCCCACCCAGCCTGTTTGCTTCCTGTGCAGTGGTATCATACGTAACAATGCCCATTTCTGCTGACTTCTTGACATGTTCTGGTTTGTTTCTGACGTTCGCTGTGAGCATTCTTGTGCTGTGTTTATGCCCTTGATAGCATCAGAACTTTGCACTTTTTAAAAACAAAAATGTTTCGGCATCGAGGAAGCACTTGACCCAGAGTGGAAAAGCCTGGCATGACAGCTGGCCTGGGACCGAGGAATCCTTCTTCTGATCTTTGAGTTTTCTGAATATCTGATTTTCCAGCCCGCTGTTTTTTTGTGCCTGGTTCGAACCATTGAGAGGAAGGAATCTCTGAGTAGATTGGTTCTAAAAGATGCTCTTTATATTTCCTACTTGCCTTGATCTTTGTGGCCACACCAGGCAGACGAGAGACAGGCAAACAAACACACAAGCTACTGGGACAAAGTGCCAGATGGCAGCTAAGCAACAGCCATTCAGATGCCTTTGCAGCAAATCAACCGAAATGTGTAGTTTAAGGAACGCGTCCACTTGGCATTGGTTAACTTGGCACTGTTGTGTTCTGAGCACTGGGCTTTCCTCTCTCTACTCCCATCATGCCAGCAAACTCGAAGTCTTTCAGATGACGTTTACACGTATATATTCCCAAATCTCTGCTTGACAAATATTAAGACATATCTGTGAGCTTGCCATGTAATTTAAAGCTTTGTTGATTTTGTTTCCGTTTGAACTCTTGGTTGTTGGGGGGGGGAAGCACGTGTTCATGCTGGAATATGAAATCTGAGACGAACCCCCTGCACTCCATGCTGGCAACACCTGAGGGTTGTTAAAAGTCAACAAGCCGGCTGCACGTGTCTCTGATGCTTTGTATCAGTTTTTATTTTTATTTTTGAGTGATTGCTCTGTCAATGGACAATAAACCATATTATCAAAGAGAAGGTTGACTCCCTGTGTGGCTGTTTCTGCTGTTTTTTAGCTGTGGGATGGGGGCCAAACCTCCACCAGCTAGAGGGAACGGGAGTCCCAGGGGCAGCTGGAAGTAGAGGCAGTTGTGAGCCATCATGAAAGTTCTGGGAACCAAACCTGGGTGCTGCACAAGAGCAGGCAGTGCTCTTAACTGCCAAGCTGTCTCTTCAGCCCCTACACGTCCATTCTTTAATAACCGAGGGGAACATTCCTGCCTGATAAAAAATAGTCAAACAAAACAAAAACAAAGACAAAAAAAAAGTCTAGCAGGGCTGAAGAAATAGCTCAGCAGGTAAAGCATTTGCTGCCAAGCCTGGTGACCCAAGCCAGGCTGCTGGAACCCACATGGTGGAAGGCAAAAACCTACTGCTAGAAGTTGTCCTCTGCAGGCAGATCTCTGTGAGTTCGAGGCCAGCCTGATCTCCAGAGCGAGTGCCAGGATAGGCTCCAAAGCTACACAGAGAAACCCTGTCTCGGAAAAAAACAAAACAAAACAAAAAACAAACAAACAAACAAAAAAAACAGAAGAAGAAGCTGTCCTCTGACCTCCATATGTGCACACGAGTGAGTATGCATGCACACAAATAAATAAACATGACTTTAATTTTTAAAATGTAAAGCAGCTAGGCATGGTGACACGCATATAAAATTCTGGTTCTTGAGAGGTAGAGGTAGAAGGATCATGAATTTGAGGGTAAATTGGATTACATAGCCAGACTATCTCAAAAACAAAAGGGGGGTAAACTCAAATCTGAGCCTGCAGAAAGGTGGAGTGTGGTTGTGGGTACAGAAGCATTTCCACAGGCACTGCCTAGAAATAAAAGTGGCTGCTACACTGTTTCCAGGTCAATCACACTGTGTCTCATTTAGCCCCTTTTAAGGGAAGTCACAGGGAAGCCAGGCACAATGTTCCAAAAGTGCTGTCCCAGACCAGTGTGTTGTGGGACTTTTCTAGGTGCATGTGAACAAATGTTTATTCACTCTGGATAGGAAACAGTGACAAACCGGGGAAGCAGTCTACCCAAATCTACCATGAGATACACTGGGGGCATGGCTTGCCCTACCCTGCATGCATGAACCCCTAGATTGGATCTCCAGCATGGAATACGCTGTCTGTGGTGGTACAAGACTGTAATCCTGGTGTTCAGGGGGTAAAGGCATGAAGACCAGGAGTTCAAAGCCATCCTCAGCTACATAGTGAGTTCCAGGATAGCCCCGGGCTACACAAAACTGTCTCAAAACAACAACTAAAACCCAATAGTCTTCCTTGATGACCCAATGAGTTTGGGGGTTATTTACAGGGGCAAGGGTGACTCAAAGGCAGCCGCATCACCAGAAAGGAGCGCCCTATCATAGCTGATGCTATATCCCTAGAAACTCCTGCTCAGCTTGAAGGCAGCACCACCCAATTCTCTCTCATCTATTGCTTACATAACCCGAGAGGGAGGGGTCTTGTGAATCTTGTGACTGAGGCTTCTGATCCTCCTCCTAGTTCCAGGAGGGAACATGTCAGCTCAGAGGAAATAGCTATACAGCCAGTGGGATATTCCTAATGCCCAGCAACGAGCTCGTAAATACAGTCCCGCCCCATCCCTGCAAAACCCTGGCAGGCAAGAAATCATCCAGGAAATGTGGTGTTCAGTCTTGAAAGTCTTCCCTCTGCCCAGCAAGTATTTCCTACTTTCTAAATTCACTTATAATGTCATCTTGAAGTTATATTAAGAAAGTAAACCCACTGGGTGGTGGTGGCCCACGCTTTAATCCCAGCACTCAGGAGGCAGGAGCAGGTGGATTTCTGAGTTTGAGGCCAGCTTCATGTGTGTAGTGAGTTCCAGGTAGCCAAGACTACATAGTGAGATCCTGTCTCAAAAACATCAGACAGAGAATGGCTCAGGTTGAAAGTGCTTGCTGTGTAACCATAAGGACATGAGTTCAAATCCCAGCACTCATTAACAAACCTGATGAGGTTTTTTGTGTGTGCCTGTGACCCCCGTGCTATTCAGGAAAGGGACAGGATGCTCTCTGTAGCTTGCCAGCTGCCAGGCTACCAAAAAATATCTCTCCTTCCAGATAAAAGGGAGACCCTGCCTCAAAGAATATGGTATATGCTGGGGCTGGAGAGATGGTTCAGTGGTTAAGAGCACTGGCTGCTCTCTCAGAGGATCTGGGTTCAATTCCCAGCACCCACATGTAACTTCAGTTCCGGGGGGTTGGACACCTTCTTCTGATTCCATGGACACCTGCATGCACACTTACACACACACACACACACACACACACACACACACACACACACTTGTAAAATTAAAAAATAAGATACTTTTTGAAGAAAGACAGTGGAGAGCAATAGAGGAGACTTGATGCCTTCCTTTGGCCTTTGCATGTGTAGAGGTGTGAGTGCCCACATGTATATACTACACACACATACAAGATATCCAAATCAGATTAAAAATCATGAATCATGACCCATCTGCATACACATTATTTTTGTTTTTGCGGTGGGGGTGTGGGAGCTCGGGACAGGGTTTCTCTGTGTAGCCTTGATTGTCCTGGAACTCTTTTGTGGACCAGGCTGGCCTCAAACTAATGAGATCTGCCTGCCTCTGTCTCCTTAAGAGCTAGGATTTAATGTGTGTGCCACCACTGTGTGGCTTTGCTTACAGGTTTGTGAAGGATTAAGGGAGAACCTCAAGCAAGTTGTGGGGACACACCTGCTTAACCTGCTCTCTGTCCAGATGACCGTCTCTTGGAGTTCCGGAAAGTGCTCACCCCTCCTGTCCTGGACCTGGGCCTCTATGGGGCCCTCCCTCTGAAACTTTCTTCCTGTTCTCATTCCTGGCTCAGGTTCTCACAGTAAGTGTCACACTCGTTAGGCTGAGGTGTGGATGTCACCTGTAAGCCTCATTATGTTACTGGAATGCAGTTCGGTCCTGTGGGGAGGATGTAGGCGTGACCAGTCATGGAATGTGAAAAACCAATCATGGAATGTGAAAGGTTGTGCTTAGGTCCATGGGTGGGGCCATTGGGAAGGGGTGTGGCTTATTGCTGTGGGTGGGGCCATTGGGAAGGGGTATGACCCTAGGACAGTGGGAAGGCTGTGTGTCAAAGGACTGGGACCTTCTGATGAAGGAAGAGGCTCCTGAGCTCAGGGTTGGGGATCCTGTTAGCAAGTTTCCCATAGCACTTATACTTCCTCCTGAGGATAAATACTGGGTTTCAGGGAAGAGCTATATAAAGGCAAAAGAGCATAGGGCTTGGCACAGGACTATAACCCTAGTTACTTGGGAGGCTAAGACAGGAGGATAGAAAATTCAAAACTGGCCTGTACAACTTAGCAAAGAGTAAAACAAAAAGGCAAGGTCGCAGCCAAGGTGGCAGCCACTTGTGAGGTGGGCGTCTGAGGGTGGTTGAGTGTATGAGGCCACAGTGTTGTGAAGGTAGCAGTAGGCAAGAGCGTGGTACAGGAGCTCATGCGGCTATGTGTGGGGGGAGCAATGAGCGCTCAGAGCACGTGGCTATGAATGTTGTGTGGTCTGTATAACAGAAGTATGACAGGGAGTGTACATGTGTTGGTCTGGGCAGTGGCAATCCCTGGATGACTACATACTGATGGAGAGAGTGGATCCTGCCCAGCTTCCTTCAGGGAAGGACTCTGCCTGCCTGGGCACAATCTAGCCAGGGCCCCAGGGCAGCCCCAAGGGACAGATAGGAGCCTAGGAGTTTCCTGTTTTAAAAACTGGCAACTTGGAGTCTCGTTAAGCCTTGGGATACACTGATGTATCCCAAAGAGAAAGGGAGCCCCAAATGACTGAAGCTAGGATTCCTAACCGTCCTGTGGGAAGGACACAAAACAAAATGTAAAACTATGAACAACTTTGTCTTGGCTGTGTGGAAGAGTCCCACAGCAATCCCTGAACTCACCCATGTCCTTGGGGACCCTGTCCTGGCCTCTGCCTGCCTTGCCGAGAGATAAGATCATTTAGGAAAGTCAGTTTCCTGGCCGGGCGTTGGCGCACGCCTTTAATCCCAGCCCTTGGGAGGCAGAGGCAGGTGGATCTCTGTGAGTTCGAGGCCAGCCTGGTCTCCAGAGCAAGTGCCAGGATAGGCTCCAAAGCTGCACAGAGAAACCCTGTCTTGAAAAACCAAAAAAAAAAAAAAAAAAAGGAAAGTCACTTTCCTGCATTTGTGGTGGTGGTGTTGTTACAAGACTGCTGAATGCCTGAGTGACATATTCACTTCAGAAACCAGTAAGTGACAATGACATAAGAAACACTTTCCCTAAGTGGCTGAGCCCAGCAGTACAGTCAGGTTTCTGGAACACTAAATAGGCAACAACCACCTTGATCCCTGGTCCTGTCTGCATGGTTGGTGAGGATGGCATGTACCATTGTTGTCCCTGAGGACCTGGGCTCTGGGGACTGTGCAAACAAAGTGAGGACTCTGTGTCAGAGGCCAGTGGCCAAGGCTGTCACACCAGGGTGCTATAGGGAGCAGGCTCTGGGCTGACATCATCTGGATGGGTGTGGGGCTTGAGTGGCACTCATGGATGGAGCACAAGCTCAGCAGAGGTGACTTCCACCCTTAGCATACGGCAGCCTGTGCCTGGGTCACTCTGTCCCTGAATGACAACCGCAGGGCAATGGAAGGTCAAACGATGCTTTGTGCTTGCTGGAAAAGTCTGTTGCTATGGCAACTCAGGGACAAGGTGCCCCCTTAGCTTGCTGGAGCTGCAGGGGGCCTATAACTAAGCTGGCAGACTTAATGTAATTTGGAACGCAGAGGCACCAGCAGTGATCAGGATGGGCGTGTGTGTGTGTGGGGGGGGGGCGGTCTTAGTTACTTTTCCGCTGTCGTGAAGAGACATCACAACGAGGGCAATTTGGAAAAGAATTTAATTTGGGGACTCGTGGTTCCAGAGGGTTATAGTCCATTACCATTGTATGGCAGCAGTCCAGCAAGCACTGTGCTGGAACTGTAGCCGAGAGCTTCCATCCAATCCACAAGCAGGAGGCAGAGAGGCCTCATTGCAAAAGGCATGGGTGAGCACTCACCTGTGAAGGTCAGAGGTTGACATCAGGGTCTTCCACAGTTGCTTATATTTGAGACCAGGGTGCTCTCTGAGCCTGGTGGTTGCATTTCAGTTTGACTGGTTGACAGCAGGGAGGCCCTGGGATCTGCCTGCCCTCCCACCATGCTGGGTATAGATGTACCACCACTGCTGGGGATGTCCCTCTGTATATCTATCTGTTTCTCTTCTTGGTTGATGAATAAAACACTGTTTGGCCCATAGAGGCAGGAAGATAGACGGGACTAGGAGAAGAGGAGAATTCTGGGAAAGGTAGGCAAAGGGAGACCTCGAGGAGACACCATGTGGAGACCAGGAGGATAGATGTGCCAGGCATTCTCTGGTAAGATAAGGCCATGTAGAAATATGTAGATTAGTAGTTATGGGTTAATAATTAAGACAGAGCTAGCCAATAAGAAGCCTTAGTCATCGGCCAACAGTTTTATAATAAGTAAGGCGTCTCTGTGTGTTCATTTGGGGCTGAAGTGGCAGGACCTGGCAGGACAAGAAACTCCAGGAACACACCACCTCATGCAGCTTTTACGTGGGTGCTTGGAGAGCTGCAATCAGGTTCTCAGCAGGTACCTATCCCCTGAACCATTTCCCCAGTTCCTGTTTTGACATTTGGAGACCTCTTCCAACAACCAGGGCGTGAAGCTGGGGAGGAACTGAATCCCTCCAAGGCAGGGAGCTGACCAAGTAACTTTTGAGCAACAACATTACTATTCTGTCAACACATCTTTTCCCCAAAGCTTTAAAACAAACTTGTCCCGGGCTGGAGAGATGGCTCAGAGGTTAAGAGCACTGGCTGGTCTTTCCAAAGGTCATGAGTTTGAAATGGGAGCAACCACATAGTGGCTCACAACCATCTGTAATGAGATCTGGTGCCCTTTTCTGGCCTGCCATGTCAGTGTAACCTATAGATGGAGAGAAACAGCAAAGCTGTCCTTCCTTTTCAACCTCTCTCTTGGTTTCTCTTTTTAGGACTCTGAGATTGTTCAGTTGTCTCATCTAAAGCATCTTGCTTTGCATTTTTGTCTCTTCCAAAACATTTGTCCACAGTGAGCCTGCAACACACTAGTTCCAGAGATGCAGTGGTCTCTGGCTCTTGGGAGTCGTGGCAGGGACAGAGAAATTCACAGAGTACTCCAAAAGAATAGCAGGGGAGGAGGGAACCCAGGGAGACTTCTAGAAGTGGGCAGTCCTGCAGGGTATTGGTGGTGCACGCCTTTAAACCCAGCGCTGGGGAGGCAGAGGCAGGCGGATCTCTGTGAGTTCAAGGACAGCCTGGTCTACAGAGTCAGCTCCAGGACAGCCAGGGCTGTTACACAGAGAAACCCTGTCTCAAAAAAACAAAACAAAAACAAAAACAAGAAAAAAAAACAACTGAACAACAACAAAAGGTAGGTAGTGCCTAAGCCAAGGCTGAGAGGCAGGTGGGAAAGGGAACTCCAGGCCAAAGACTAGGATGAGCAGGCACATCTATCTGATTAGGGTGGAGATGGAGAACTTGGATTTGGCTGTGAAGAATCTGGAACTGGAAGTGTCTTGAGGCCAATGTCAATTTGAAAGGCAGGAAGCGGCTCTATGCATGCATTCAAGGGTGAGCTATGAATGGTATTATTATTTTAGATTGGGCTTCCTGTAGACCAGGCTGACCTCAGATTAGCTATGTAGCTGAGGATGACCCCGAACTCCTGATCCTTTTGCCTCTACCTCCTAGTGCTGGGATTAACGTGTGTGCTACCACTACACCCTGCTTAAATATGTGATTCTATTTGGTACCTATTTGGCTGTTCCACTAATATTGATGAAGAATGTGAGGGACTTTTTTGTTGTTGTTGTGGCTGTCCTGGAACTCGTTCTGTAGACTAGTTTGGCCTTGAACTCACAGAGATCTGCCTGGGATTAAAAGCTTGTGCCTTCACCACCAGACAGGACTTTTCTTTTGTAAAAGATATTTAGCCGGGCATTGGTGGCGCACTCTAAAAGGGGCGTTTTTATAGCTAGACATAGGCAGAGGCTAACGGGACTTTTTTTTAAAAAACAAGGTGATTCCCCTATGTGGTTCAGGATAACACATTCTGCATGATCAAACAATCTCAGCCACTCAGCGAATGGGTTAACTTTGGCTTTATTTATTGATATATTTATTAGCTACAGACAGAATATCGTGCATCCCCGCCTCCACCCCTCAGAACTGCAGCAAGGGCACTCTTGGGCCACCGCGCCTGGTGCACGCAGTGATGGGTGGAACCCCGGGCCTCGTCGCCAGGCCCCGCTTGCCAGTCTTTCCCAGAGGGCACCGGCAGCCAAGAGATTAGCAAATGGCGCAGTCCCCAGAGACTCGATCCCCGGAGGCCAGCCAGGCTTGCACTGAGCCTGCGGCATCCATCGCGGCTCTGCTTCCCTCCCTAGCAGCGTCACCCTCCAGAGCCACCGGCACCTCGCGCACCCGGCACCCAGCTTCCGCCCCTCACCGACCAGCTCACCGGGCCTGCGCACTCGCGGCGTCAGGCACGCGGGCGGAAGTGACGCCACCCTACCGACTCCGCGGGAACCACGCCAGGCCGCGGCAGGGTCTCTGGACTCCCGGGTGCTTCCGGAGCTTGTGGCTCTGCGCGCTTGCGTCATCGCGTAGACTGGCTGGGCGGCCGGAGGGGAGGGTGACGTGCGCGTCGCGAGTAGCAGAGGCGGGGGGCGGGTCCAGGGAAAAGGTTTCGGCGCTAAGTCCCGCCTCTTAAAGGTACCCGGACCTCTGCGCGCGGCCTCCGGACGCGCCCGGCAGTGCGGCTCCTTTAAAGGCCGTGGTGACACGTGTGTGAGGCTCCCGAGGCCCGGATGGTGCGCGTGCGGCCCGGCCCGGAGCGGACGCTGGTGCTGCGCGGGCCTTCGGCGGGCCGCTGAGAGGCCTGTGAGGTGGAGGGCGAGCACGGCGAGCGCAGGTGCTTCCGCGGGGCTTGGGACGAGAGAGGCCGGGAGGTGCGCGCTCCCACCCGCGGGGTTCGGGGACTCCGGAGAAGGCTGACAGGTGCGTGGCCGGCGTGGGTGCCCGGGGAGGACAGGGGGACAGCGGGCGGCGCCGGGACCGCTGAGGAGGGACAGAGGCGCGGGAGGCCGAGGAAGGGACAGGAGGGGCGAGGGGAGACCGCGAACACCGGCGAGGCCGGGG